GGGGCTGAGGGGCTTTGTGTTTTCTGGGGCAGGAGGGGGCGGGCGGGGGCTCCCAGGAGCCGAGCTGGGCCCAGGGAGATGAGGGACTCCAGGGCCACCACTGCCCCGCCCAGGCCTGGGCAGAGAGGGGCTCAGCTGTGGGGGGAGGGGGGAGTCACTGTCAGCAGCAAGCGGGGGTCTCACTGCCCTTCATCTACAGCTGTGGATCTGGAGGACCAGGTCAGATCTCGGGAGGAATTCTGTTTGCCCAGTGATGCAGATAAACACGTGCAGGAAGCCTCCAAATCAGTGCAGCCCTGCCATAAAACCAAGTTGACTCTCCGCTCCCTTCTCCCGCCGCTCAGAGAGCATCCCCCGTGCCCCCCCTGCCCCCACCGCGGGTCCCGGGAGGGTCTTGGCCCCTCGGCCCAGGGAGGCTGACCCCACCCATGGGCATCTCCCAGATGGCTCTCTCCCCCTTGGGCCCTGAAGCCAAGCAGGAGGGATTAGGACGCCGTCCTCCTTATCAAGGAAGTTCCCGGCTTGGAGCAACTCTGAAGCCACCGTGCCCTTTCTGTCAACAGCATGATAATTCCTGCAAGCTATCAGAGGTTCCCAGCGCCTCCCTGCCGAGGTGGCGCCCACTTCCTCTTCGCGGGTTAGAAGGGTTCCATCTGTCTTTGTCCTGAAATCATTCTCTGTCACGCGGAATACGTGGTAAACTTTCCCCAAACTGCTGGTTTCCACATCTATGACATCGGGCTGCACCCTCGGCCTCACGGTGTCCCCTGCGTCAGGAGTGACTGTGGGTCACGGATGCTAAGCCAACATTGATGAGAAACTGTGCTGTGATTTTAGGTGCAGCCAAGAGAGGAAGGTGCTGCCTGTTTGACTGTCATGGTGCAGGTTAGGCTGACAATGCACCGAGATTCCAGATGCGTTAAAGTGTGCAGAAGGTCGAAGGGATGACCCAGCACGGCATCATCACCCCGTTTTAGGAAGAGAAAGCGGGAGCTTCATGAGGTCCCTCAACTTGCCTGAAGCCTCCCGGAGGCAACCGCTGCGAGGGCGGCAGGGGCTCTTCCGGGGGACCAGACGCAGCTCAGAGGATGCTTCCCTGATGCATCAATTGGTTTTGTCCTTGGGGCAACAGTCCTCTGAGAGGTGCTCCTATGATCACCATTTTCCAGATGAGACGCCCGAGTCACAGAGAGGGTGATGTGCTGGCCCAGGGCTACACAGCTGATGGGTTTCAGGGCCAGGATACCATCTCCTCCCAGTGTCTGGAGTCCCAGGCCCTGGATTCGAATTCCAGTTGGTCCCTCTGAGGTCAGGTGCCTCCCATCTGTGTCATCCAAAAAGCAGGGATATAACCACAGTTCCTACCACTCAGGAATTTTTGATTTTCTATGGACTGAATTATACAGTGAAGCCTCCAAGAAGTGTGCCCGGCCCACCAGGGCTGCCACCAGGCTGGCGTCCGAGACGGGGCTGGCAAAGTGTCCGGAGGGGCCTAGAGACAGCCGTCCACTCTGCAGTCTCGGCAGAAAACAGGAGCCACAGGTGACTGTCTGCTTTAAGACGTGTGGCTGGTCCAGGCCTGGTTCTTTCCCCAGGGCAGGCAGTTGGAGGGACCTGGCGTTTGGGGTGTGTGTGTTGACCTCCGGGTTGGAGATGTGCCCCAGGTGGAAGGGTGGAAGTCAAGTCTTCCCCCACTGCAGCCCCTCGAGGGCACCGGGCTATAGGGGAGGGAGGTCTGGGTCCGGCTGCCTGGCTACTCCAGCCGGACAGTCTGCGCATCCAGTCAGACCCCGCTGTTCTCACCTCCTCGCCCTGGAGGGGAGGAGGCCAACCCTACAGAGTCCCACACGGGAAGGGCTGTGAAGCTGCCCCCTTTTTCTGCCCCTAAGCTGTACCTGTCCCCCAGGACAGAGCCTCTGCCCTGCAGCCTGCGTGGGCTGAGGGAGGTGGGAGTGTTGGGTCCGAGGAAGGCTGTGGGGACGGCTCAGCCCCCAGGTCCTGCAGCTACAGCAGAGTGACCCCAAGAGCCCTGCAGGTCACCTGTGCTGGGACCTCGGCCGCGCCCAGAAACTGGAAAGGAAGGGACAGGCGTGGGGGAGGAGTGCCAGCCCTGGGCAGGCAATGCTGAAGCCAGTGTCCCCTGCCTTGGTCACCTTGGCCAGGAACAGCTGGGCTGGGCTAGGCCAGGGTCAGGATCAGGGTCAGGGTCAGGCAGCCCAGGGTCCTGAGGGTCGTAGGGGCCGCTTCTCCATCATGTCATGTGTCCGAGGAGAGAGCTGTGAGGAACATGCTGCCCCCGGGGGTTCCAGGACACCACCCGCCCCAAGAGGAAAGCGCTGGACTCGCACCTCCCACCCATAGGCTCCTTGCCCACCCGTGGGGCCCTGTTCTTGGCCGGATCCGGGCTGGCGGGCGTTTCATCCTCACCTGGGTCAGTCCCTCATACAAATAGCAGCTATCTGATGCCCGCTTCTGGTCCCAAATCAGAGCTGCCAGAGTGAGTCAGTGGCCTGGCCTTCATCCCATCCCCACGTCCCTCCACCGTCCTCCTGTTGCCATGGCAATGCTTGGGCGATCCTGTCAGCACTGGACCCCAGCCCTCTGTCCAAACAGGCACTGCCTTGCTCTCCAGTAAACCCGCTAGTTTATCAGGTCTGGGTGCGGGGCCTGGCAGCAGCCCAGGTGCAGGCTGTGCGGTCCCCCGGGAACCCGGGGGACCAAAGGCTTCTGGGGCCACCGCCCTAGGCGAGCCACATCCCCATGTGTGGCTCCCGCTTCCCACACACAGCACTCTACTGTGAACCCCTGGACATGAACCCTATTCCTGCAGGGGTTTTCATGGACCCCCTTTTCAGGTGAGGAAACTGAGGGTGGCCGAGGCTCACCCCAGCCGTGCCCCTTCCCCTGTGCTGCCCTCACTAAGCACGAAGGCCCCTGAGAGCAGGAGGGTGGAATTACTGCCCCACTGCTTTAAGGGTCCCCTTCCAGCCCCCGCTGGGCTCGGGGAGGACACAGGGAACAAGGGCCCCGGTTTTCGAGGCCGGGTCACTGGTCCCACACCTGCCCGACCGCAGACCCCCTCTCCGTGGGTCCCTCTTATGGGGTTCCCCCACCCTGGGAAGGGATGCTAACCCCAGTGCAGGGCGTGCCTGGTGACTCAGATGGGTCGGGAGCGAGGTGTGGACTCGCCGGGAGCATGGACACTGGTTGACCTGTTACCTCCCTGCCTTCCTGGGGTCACGAGGAGGGGAGACCCGTGTCACTCATGCTTCCCTCAGCTTGGGTCTGGCCCCCAGCTGCAGACCCTTGAGCCTCCCCACCAAGGCACTGGTTCCCGATGTCCAATAACCTAACCACAAAACCCACACAGCCCTTTGGAGCCAGACTGGTCCCCTCGGCCTGCCCCTAGGGGCCTGCCCTGCTCAGCACCAGGTGACGGGCTGTCCAGCTCTAGAGCCAGGCAGCTGGGGCCGGGGAGGGTGAGGATGTGATACAGCAGCCTGCAGGGGGGGTGGGGGGGACAGGGGGGCACGGAGGTGGCGCCAGCTCCCTTCAACCGGCATCCACGCCCCCTGCTATGTGATCACCCGCCCACCCACCTACTCACTCACTCACTCATTCACTCGTTCATTCACTCACTCGTTCGCTCACTCATTCACTCACTCATTCATTCACTCATTCACTTACTCATTCACTCACTCATTCACTCACTCATTCACTCACTCATTCGCTCTCTCACTCATGCACTCACGCGTTCATTCATTCATTCACTCATTCCTCACTCATTCATTCACTCATTCTTCACTCACTCATTCGCTCTCGTTCATTCATTCACTCACTCACTCATTCATTCACTCACTCACTCATTCATTCATTCACTCGTTCATTCACTCACTCACTCATTCATTCACTCACTCTCTTACACACTCGTTCACTCACTCACTCACCCACCATGTCTCTCCCCCACTCTCCTGTTATGTGTGAGGCATTCTTTCTACCAGGTACCAGGGCCAATTTGGGGCATGAGGAGGGGATGGCTCAGGGGCCAAAAACCAGGTGACCAGAAGGAGCTTGGGACAGGCCCCAAGTGAGCCAGCAGCAAATGCTCAGAGCAGCTCCAGGGTGCCCCCTGACCCCAGCCCCCGGCCCAGCATGGTGGGGACCCAGTCCAGCTGCCCTTGCTCACTTTACTGCCACTCCGCCCCAGGTAGAGCCTCCTGGCTGGGCCCACCTGTGGCAGTGGAGCCCCCAGCCTTGGGGGGGCTGTGCGGACCCCTGGGACGGAAGTCCAGACGCAGCGCCTGGCTCCGTGATAGGCCCACTGTCTGAGGCTGCGTGTCCATCACACCAGGGTGCTTTCTCAACCAGAACCCATCAGGGACAAGACCACTGGGCTGGTTTCTGGGCTCGTTCAGTCGGCATCTCTCCAGCTCAGTGGACTCAGCCGCCCCTGCCCCTCAAGGCCACAGGCCCACTTGTGACTGGAGCTGGCCTGGGGTCACCCGCCCAGCTGGAGCACAGCCAGGCTCCCAGGCAGTGCTGGTCGGGGGGCTGCACTGTGGGGCGGGGTCCTGTCCCTGGGGGTGCCGTGCCCTGAGCCCTTCTCCAGTGAGGGTGGGGCTGGCCACAGCAGCCCCGGCAGCAGGGAAGATGCCAGTGGCCACTCCAGGTGCCAGGAACTCAGGGGTCCGGCTGCACGGGAGAGTGCCCAGGGAAGGTCCGGGGGCAGGGGTGTGGTGGAGGATGCCTGAGGCCAGGACTGGGGGACCCTCAGGGACCACGTCCCACCTGGCAGACACACCCATCCCTGCCTGTCTTCAGCTGCCGGCCAGCCCGTAGCCAGTGCCCACTGTTTACCTGGGTGAGGGGAACCACAGGCCCTGCCCCACCCTCCCACGTGAAGCCAGTGGGGCTGGAGCCAGCTCTGGGACTACAAAAGGCTCCTGCAGACTCAGAGCCCTCCTCAGAGGCTGCCCTGGGGACTTCTCCCCCCACACACCATGGGTGTCGGCTGGAGGAAGCTGGCCCTGCTCTGGGCCCTGGGCCTCACTCTGGCCTGTGCCCAGCACACAGGTAAAGCTCGTGCTGGATTTCCCAGGCTGGCCCTGACCATGGCCTGGGACCCCTGTGCCCCCCCCCCGAAATCCTAGGGTGGCCCTGGCCCCCGGCAGGCAGCAGGCAGCTCTGAGGCCTTGTCCTGGGCTCTGGTCAAGCTGAGTGCATCCATGAGCGGCTCTTCCAGCTTGTGGGGTTGGGGAGGGGTTCTTGGGGGCTGCGGGGTCCATGTGGGGGTTAGGGCGGGGAGCAGCCCAGCATCTATGAGCCCCTGGCTACAGGATCTCATCCACACGTGTGTCTCTGCTGCTCTCTGCCCTCTGCCCCCTGCCAAGCCTTGTCTGAGCAGACTCTCGAACTCCTGGCCCAGCCTGGCAGAGCTGCCCACCTGCCTTGGACACCCCCCTGCACCACCGTGCATCCCCGG